GGCGGTGAATCTTTTCCATTTTTAAAGTCAACTCGTCCCTGTCGCCATTTGATGGTCGGACCGCCCATTTTTTCGACGGCCACAGCAGCAGCTAGTGTGTACAAGTCGGCGTAGGTTAAGCCAGGATAATCACGATAAACACTTTCTAGACGATCTCGTGCTATATCCAAACCTAGAATGAGACAACTAACGGAACACTTCGCATGACTTTTAGATCTACACGTAGGATAAAAATCTGGGCTAAACTTGAAAATAAAGAAATCTTATAGATTTCGAAATATATACTTTGCTTGATGAAGTATATTATTCTTCAGATTTTATGTAAAAACTATCAGACCGTTTTTGAACCCAAATTGACATTTGTTTCTTCTCATATTCTATGAAGGGAGCGGTGAGGTAGATATTTTATCCAAGTAAAATATGTCATTCTGAAGGAACACAACCTCTCTATCGAGTTGAATTTTCATCCTTGATGCAAAGTTTGTATTTAGTGTTCTTTCAAACCAGTAAAGAAAACTTAATGAAATACTTATTTGACCCGTTGAATCGATTTCAGAATAATGTTCAAATACTAATATGTAAAATAAAAACGACGAAAACAGTTCTTTTTTTTTTTACATCTGTGGATGTTTTCTCCATTACTATTGAAGAGTCAGTTAAAGAAGACTAAAACTTTGGATTTATAAGTACTCGATTGTACTATTTCTTTTCTAAACTAAAAAAAGTGTGCAAAAAATAACTTTTCAGTCAAGTTATGGACTATGTATTGTGTGGCTTTTGACCAAATCGAACATGTATATAACATAACAGTTGTATCAATATTGGTTGAGATGCATTTCATTCGCTAGAATTCTAAATATGCAATTGATATTGGAAGAGAGTGTTAAAACGACCAAAATAAATAACTGATTATTTATGATTAAAAAATATTTTTAGAGCCGAAATGTATTTAGGCAATATGTCATATGAAAGATTGTGAGCAAATATGAGAAGAGAAATGTTAGGAAAGATAAACGGCAAATTCTATTACATGTTTTTGATACGGGGCTTCTTCCAAAAGCTTGAACGTTTTCCAGAGTTCTTTCAGAAACCTACATTTTGAAAATATTTTAACAGCATATTCTGAAAGTTCTGAAAATTGTATCGAATTACAAAATATAGTTGTAAAGTAATAGTGTTAACGATGAACATACGTGGTTCAGTTTTAGAAACTGAATGCAACGTCTTTTAGGGTTGAGGTCCGAATAATATATAATCGAATTTTAAACCAGAGTAGTGACGAATTTAATGTGGATGTGATCAATCGTTCGCTTCCGTCCTTCAAAAAATTTGTTTCTATTTTTCCCAGCAAAAATTAAGAAAAATTGATTTATATTTCCTCAAATGAGTCTCAAAAAGTGAATTTTATCTATGATCACTCTCCTCCCTTCGTTCCAATACCCTAGATCCGCTACTGAACCTGAGATATTGATGTACACACAGTTATAGAGATTTCACCTAGTTTTTCAGAATAATGGCTCATAGTTCACATTTTGCTTTCGACATTTTGAAAAACTACTTCTAACTATTGTTGACAACCAAATTCTTCTATTCTGTACATATGTTGTATAACTAGAATTCCTATTTTAATCGAAATTATGAGACTAAAATTTCAGCAGAAGTTCGATGAAAGACTTCAATTTAGACGTGAAAATGTTTACCATTATTGACTGGCCAAGTACTTTGGGGTTCAAAGCGAATACATCCACCATTGGAGCCACCGGTTGAATCATTCTGGGAGTATGTGCCGCTCGCAAGCCAACCCATTCGAATGAATAACGGACCGTAATTCCCATCAACATAATCTTTGTCTTCCATTAGAGCAGCAATAGATTGTTTTACTTTGGTATAATCGACTTGATGGACTGAAAAAAAAGAGGTATAATATGAATCCTCTTTTTTTTGCAACGAAATGGAAAACTTTTTAAAAGTTTCGTACGAACTTATGACACCTTCAAAAGACTTGTCAAAGATCTAGAAAATGTTTTTTAATGTTTCGTAGAAAACCTACGAAATCTTCAATCGTGTACACCGCATATCCCTAATAAGAACAGCTTTTCAAACGCCTTGAGAGTTTCCTTTTTTCTTTTTAAATTTATATACAAACATGTATATTTTTTATATTATTGAGTAGAGAAATAGTTTCTGAATTGAATGGTATAAAAACTATTTAATTATCTCGAAAAATAACAAAATAATTAGTGGTAGTTTGAGATTGATTGACTTTATCCTTATGAAGAGTACTATGCGTAACAGAAATACTACAGCAAAAAATGGTCCGAATAGCAACGGGCTATAACAAATGTATAGAAAATAGATGTTTTGTAGTAAATGGATATTTTTCATATCTAAAATTGAAAATTTTTTTATGGTCCGGTGACAAAAGCTATTCCTTATCAATCAAGGAATATAAAAATTGAAAAAATAACTCGCCTGTCCTTTTTAAGAACACTGTTCCTAATTCGAACAGTCAGTGAAAAAATGTTCTTAATAAGAACAATCTATGTAAAATAAATAGAAAAATAATCGACTTCGTAAAGTCAGACTTTTTTTGTAACCGAAGGAATTTTTCAATCGATGGTTCATTCTCGATTTTAGTCAAGCTTTGTCATTTGATAAGTATTTTACTACAAATGGAATTATGTTTTGTGAAGAAAAATATTGTTCATTCGCTGCTTGTTTGATTAGAGTATACTAACTCTATATCTCCCTAGCTTCGTTTTCTCCTTATGTTCTTGGTTCTTCTTATTTATGACTTTCTCTCTCTATCTCTCTCAAATAAGTAATGTTCTTTGAGATATAAGAAGCGTACATTCAATATAATTCGTCACAGATTCAACAAGAGATCTTTTGGTGGGGAGAGTAAGATCCAGAGACGGCATGCTCCTTATAAGTCGAAGAGTCTTTATGCCTTTTAGCTCATAAGGAATGGGATGGTTAGGTCTTACACCATGAAATATGGCTTGCCTTTGAGTTGAAAATATAAGAGTATCAAAAAGCATACTTGTTCGAGATCTTGTTCCCAAAACAGAACCGACAATGGCTGCCGCGATGATTATAGCCATAAGCAAGCTGATTGGAATGATGAATCTCTTCTTGTAGTACCATTGACGTCTTGTAAATGTGATGAAAAGTCTCGTCAATGTATAGATAGATAAAGATAAGGTTAGACTTACTTAGTTTTAGGAAAAAGATGTGCACCTAAGGAAAGAAATGCGTCAATTTTAACCGATTAAAAATGTTTAAACTACTACCTTCGAAAGGTGGTTTCAATAGCATTGTCTCCGGTATTATCTGTTTCAAATGAATGATATGAAGATTATCTGCTGGATTTAATTTTGATTGAACTGTCATGTGAGTGCCTGGCAGAAGAAGAACTTCGTCTTCAGCAAGGAAATGTGAATGAGCATTTATCGTTCGACCATTGATAGCTTCTATGGAAAATAATGTCCGATTGCCAGTCCTTCCTAAATACATACCGTTCTCAAGCACAGTCAATGAAGTTGTGCATGATGAAAATGCCAACCAGGTCACTGGAGTACCGGGAGAAAATTCTTCGCTCAAGTTTTTAGGCACTCCTCGCCAAATGGTTAATGGTGATAGGCATGGTAATTTAGCTAGAGCAGTTAAGAACAGTTTCATGTATTTGAAATAGGGTCGTAGATGCTCGCGATCGTTATTACTGAGAGTGCGATTGAGCATTGCATAAAGACTGTGATCTGGTTCGTCCCATTCGATGGTGTAGAGACGAATCGCAGCACTCTCATCAACTGTGAGTCCATCGGATGGTTTTTCTGGGGTTTCGTTGAGTGCCATTTGAACGTAGAACCATAAATTATGAACGATTGCGGTCAACGGAGCACATGCTTTGACAAGTGGTAGCAAAGTCTCTTCGGCATATTCCACAATAGGGTTGATATCAGCATTAATATCATGGATGATATTTGTAGATCCCAGATTTAGTTCTCCATCGGTGGTTTCTACGAATCGACGATTTTTTATTATGACGTCTCTCCGTGAGTTACCAAAATCATTCATTGCTATCAATACTTGTGCACAACCTGTTGTCCTCTGATCATGATCTTCCGTCATCTCTTGCTTTATGGATGATTATCGATGTTTAAAAACCAAATATCGATTATTGTTTGTAATGGCAAAAATAAGTAGTTGTTAGTAATTGGGACTTATTAACGAATTTTCAAAGGGATAAAGATGAATGTTAACAAGTTTCGAAAGATTATCATTACCGTTCACTATTAGGTTTACTTGAATTCTTAGTACAGAAATAGTAGATTCAAACTGAGTTGAAAAGAGAGATGATTACAATTTCTTACGAGGAAACCCGACCAAATGATTAAAAGCTTTAAGACTCACATTGACGCCATAAGTAGTATTTAGTGAGACTAGATGAATGCTAAAAGGATTTCCTTGAATGGGCCTAGTTGACTAAAGAGAGAAGGTCCCCAAGTGTGAAATCTACACTGTAAAAAGGTCAAACATCAAAAGTCATCGAGCGTAGTTTATTATGATCAAGAGAATTCTAGAACGTTCTAAGACATTGTGGAATCTTCTATAACCCTCAGGTACTCTATAAAAGACTCCACAATGCCTTAGAAGATCCTAGAATTCTTTTGACCATGATAAACTCCATTCGATGACTTTTGATCTTTGACCTTTTTACAGCGCAAGACAATCAAAATGAATTGTAAAAATTAGTAATGGAGATAATTTTCAAAACTCTATAGATTTGACAATAAGATTCTAGTGGCTGTTACACAATGATAGAGAGCGTAGAAGTAAAATCTATTATATTGTTTTGTACAGAATTCTATACTCTCCCTTAACTCAGACGACAATATTTTTTCGCATTATTTCTTGAGTCAAACAATGAATTTTCATTTTCTGCAACTAAAAATAACATATTTTTAACAAAATGAATTGATTGTCGTAAATATCGATTTGCTTTTATCAAAAAACATAGACACGTCGATTGACTGAAGTAATGTTAGTCATCAACTTCGATTTCATATCGAGTCCCATCATGCCTCATGTTAAGTTCATACTTGTACTATACATCTGACTATTAAACTACTTTAGTTTCCTTGCAAAATTATCCTAATAATTGACTTACTACAACAATAGATGTGGGTCTTTATTTTTGATACATACAGATAGCTCAAACTGTAGATATCTGGTCTTTTTTTCTTACTTCTCGGTGTGTGCCACGTCACACTTAAGATGCATGTTAGTACTTTGCGTAACACTCTAAAGATTGTCGATCTCCTTCTTTTTAGTGTCACAGACGTAAAGATTTTACCATATGCTGATAGTTTAATGCTCATTCCTTGATTAGCTGAACATGATGTTTAGCCAAGGATGCAGATTCTGTCGATAAAATAAAAACTGTTGATCGATTATATCTACGTGAGTGTACATAGCTACTTCCAAAAAAATTTTCCGATCGGCAAAAAGTTACGAAAAGTTTTCCCTGACTGTAAAATTCAATTAAAAATTGATATTTCTTAATATCGTTTGGATCTTGCGACTTGTTAGTATGTTTTCCGTAAATGATTTATGTTGAACCAGGAAAAACAAGTTTCTAAACTTCACATCATTCACTGGTTTTTTTAAAATAAAACAATCATTGTCTATATTTCATTTGACTTAAGTAATCATTCAGTGAGTTTGTAAGCATTGAATGAGCTGAATGTAATGAAGCAGCATTTCAGAGATATGAGTAGGTAGACTAAACCTGCCTTGCTCTGCTATAGGATTGGGTTCACGTTTTACATGAGTCGTTTCCTGTTATGACAGCGAAGGAGAAGATCTTTGTACCCTAAAAGTTCCAAACACAAATGTCCTGACTCCGCTCTCAGGTCTTTCTACTCTTGCAGCAACTTTATCATATAAATTCAATTAATCACAACGAGAATAGGTATCGTTGTAGTTGTTAGTGCAGTGTAGTGACCGTTTAAGCGAATCCAACGAGTTAAGGGAAACAGTGTAAAATGAATAGAGGTCACGGTAGAGCTTTCATGGCGGACCAATAGGATTTAGCGTCTGTAAAGTATGGATGTTCCATATTTTACTAAAACTGAAGCTCATTGGTCTGCTATTAGAACGTCAATATGACCTCTATTCATTTTACAGTATTTCCCTTAACTCGTTGGATTCCCTTAAACGGTTACCGCAGTGCAGATATATGATTGCCAATTCTCTCGTCATCTATACATCTATACCCGCGCAAATATAAAAGAAGAGCCAAGAGGCATATGCCATGTGAACAAAAGTACACGACAGCTAAACTACAGTAGGAACACGCATGATTCTTTCAGAAGTTTAATTTAAACAAATCACATGAAAAGTAGAAGACCTTACCGATGTTATTATATATAAATAAGTCGAAATTCATTTGGAAACTAGAAAAAAATTCCTTCAACGATTGTTGGCGTGCATAGGTAAATTCTGCACGCCTGTATTAAGTATTGAAAAAAAAACCGAGTAAACTGATTATTTAATACATATGATCAATAAATAAATAAGTAAACTTAAATAATCACAATAGTGTATCAAAACGTAAAGAAACGCAGTTTAATTTTAATTGTACATGTATAACTAAAGTTTTCGTCCTTTATGAGTAAGGTCATCATCAAACATAAGATCTCATTTGTAAGCATGATTCTTCTTTTATTCATAACAAACAATGACTGATGAAAAAGAAATGGAAACAAACAAAAATTGTGTTACCATATACAACAATTTAATAAATTTCTATAAACATAATCATAATATAGAAAGTACCTTAGACCATGAATTTACACACGTATTAAAATTAAACTGCATTTCTTTACTTTTTGATACACTATTGTTATTATTTAAGTCTACTTATTTATTAATTATGTATTCTTGTAGAATTAAATATCTAAAATATTAAAATCTCTAGCAACTAAAGATATTCATTTATATCTGAGTAGGTTCATGGTCTAAGGTATGTTGTATATTATGGTTATATTTATATGACTTTATTAAACTGTTGTATATGGCAACAAAGTTTTTGCTTGTTTCCATTTCTTTTTCATCAGTTATTGTTTGTTATGAATAAAAGAAGAACCATGCTTACAAATGAGGTCTTATGGTTGATGATGATCGTACTCGTAAAGATCGAAAATTTCAGTTATACATGCCAAATTAAAATTAAATTGCATTTCCTTATTTTTTTAAATACGTATAGAAATCCTCAATAAAATTGAATTCCATTCAAATTATAAATAGATGGGAAGTATAGCGAGAAAAATGAGTCGAAAAGAATATTATTCTACAAATATTAATTAATTGATCTTTTAAAAGAGAAGTCGATATCGGGATCGATTTCATATCTGTTTCAATCGTGTCTAATATACATCTCATATGAGTGCTATATGTGGATTATCTCACAGGCATATTTCAGATTTTGATATTATTTTAATAAATTACTTACCATAATGAAATTAATAAAACCAAATATAATTAAAAAATATATTGACGGTCTGTTAAAAAAGCATCTGGTGTATGTAACACTTTTTTGCTTATTTTATCAAATGATTTTCGTTTTGAGTTAGTCAGTACGGTCACCTTTTTCTTTTGTACTGTTCGTTATTTTACTTGTTTTTTTTTCTTTTTTTTTTAGTTTGTTTCGTCTTTATCTCTTTATTATCTGTGATTTACACACCCTATCGCAAATGAGCGCAGACAATATGTATACATAATATTAAAGAAAATCAACCACGTGCGTAAAATAATATGCTTGGATGATCTATACAAAATGAATGTTGCATGCGAAATAAAAATAAAACATATACGTGAAAAGGTGTCGAAAAGCAAAGTCCAGTAGAAAAAATAATTTGTTTTTCATTGTGAAATCCATCATATTTCATATTCATATAAATATATACTCCAGAAAAAAATATTTGCAGTTCGTATTTGAATTAAATCGTTATGATAAAAACATATTTAAAGAAACAGATAATCACATATTTCAAAAATATATGGAGTTTTCTATCACACGGTGTATTTTAGTTTTATTTTCCAGATATTCTGTGAATACAAAAATCCTATTCAAATCAAGATATTCTCATAGGCAAATTTCCATAAATTGTATACTGTTACTATTGTGCGTTTCAAAATAAAAGGCGGTTGCCATTTTTTGAATGACTTTCCTTGAGCACAAGATATAGACCTGTGCCTTTCTCCATTCGAAAGAGCAATGTCTGGTCCATCGATCGATATAGAACTCATTAAGACGAAAGATAATTTTTCATTGATGCTTTTGAGTCATCACTTTTTTTCTACGATTATTTCCAGCAATTTTTGCAATAATCTCAACTCAAATTATATCAAAATGTAGCTCAAACTACCCTTTTTTCGCCATAATATTAACATTTGTTTTTGAAAATCAGCTTATAATAAAAGGTTGACAGATACTAAAAGACATGATAATTTTATAATGAAAGAAGAGTAGTTTGAGCTACATTTTGATATAATTTGAGTTGAGATTATTCTAAAAATTGCTGAAAATAATCGTAGAAAAAAGTGGTGACCCAAAAGCATCTATGAAAAATTATCTTTCGTCTTAGTGAGTTCTATATCGATCGATGGACCAGACATTGCTCTTTCGAATGGTGAAAGGCACAGGTCTATATCTTGTGCTCAAGGAAAGTTATTCAAAAAGTGGCAACCTGCCTTTTATTTTGAAACGCACAATAGTTCTTCAAATACTATTTTAAATTTATTAAGCATATATTAAGAACTTGTAAAAAAAGTAATCATATATTCTAATAGAGCTTCAAATTCTCTATCACATTGTTTAAATATCTTTTACCTTGTCTTTGTTGATTATAGAAAAAAATTGAGAAAATTTAATGCCTCCTCACTTGACAAAAATGAAAAAGTCTGAATTATGAGAGGGTCCGCCAGCCAATCGGGCAACTTCGTCATCCCAAAAAATTTTGACTTCTATATTTTTTGATTGCAAATGAAGGAGCATCATCGAAAACCTCTGAATCTAAATTTTTAGCGCATTCTAACTTGTCCTTAAAAAGTTATGAACTAAACACTGAACCGATCTGCAATAGGTTTTCATTCCTTCACTTGCTCTCGTAGAAGTTGGACGTATTCTCTCTTACTATACGTATAGTTTAAACTTTTTGTCCTCTGCCAACTTGATAAGTTGATTGAGGTTAACAAATACAATAACATCTATATCACGGAAAATGATGAATTATGATAATTACAATAATATGACATCGGAACAAAAAGATAGAATTTGGAATGGTATTGACACACAAACGAAGATTGAAAATTTTCAACGGCAACAACAATTAAAACCAACAAGCTCAACATTGGAACAACAAACAATCAGTGATTCAAATGGAAATAATCAAAATGATGATAATTGGGAATCTGTACAAACTCGTAGAAATAATAAAAAAAAGAACACTGGAAATAATAATATTGATCATCGTCTACAACATAAGGTGTTATCTAACTCAAGTAAAATTCATTCTCCATCTAACCAAAATCGAATCTCTTCTTCTTCTTCATCCCACAGCAATCAACATCAAACAAACAGAGATGGAAATCGATTATCAATAACTAATTATGCATTAGATTATGCTTCTAATTACCATTTAAATTGGAATGTTATCCAAAAATTATTGAAAGAAAAGGAAGGTACAAGGTTGATTAATGATTTAATTAAATTCATTACACTTGGATTCCTCACTGAAAATCCTTGTTTTTTAAAAGATATTTTTGTTGATCTCTGATGGATCGGTCCTTAAGGAAACATCCAATTTATTATTAAATCAACTGATCTTTATGTTTATTTATGTAGAAAAGATCATTATCCAAATCAATTAAATAATGTTAAAATTAACCCGATTCCTCCTAATCATTTACCACCACAACACACGGTGATAATTAAATGGGTTAATAATTCATTAATAGATGATGATATTTGTGATGAATAAAACATGAAATTCGAAAGTATATTCTCCATCGAATCAATGTAGTTGATGTATAATCAAATAGCGTAGAAAAAAATAGAGCTTTCTTTTCTCTATTAGATTGTATAGAAAAAAGTCTCTCAGAGCTTTCTATGAGGAATTACAATACCTTCGCCACTATTTTTGGACTGATCTAAGTAGAAAATGACGACCATGGACAGCAAAAGCTATTGTCGCTTCTACTGTTACCAATTTTCTCTTGTTTAAAGATTGACGTGAGTAAGCAAATGAAATGTCTTGTACAAATATAAAATGCAATTTTCTCTT